CATCAAGTCGTCTACCACGTCATCAAGTCGTCCACCACGTCATCAAGTCGTCCACCACGTTATTAAGTCGTCCACCACGTCATCAAGTCGTCCACCACGTTATTAAGTCGTCCACCACGTCATCAAGTCGTCCCCCACGTCATCAAGTCGTCCACCACGTTATTAAGTCGTTCACCACGTCATTAAGTTGTCCACCACGTCATCAAGTCGTCCACCACGTCATCAAGTCGTCCACCACGTCATCAAGTCGTCCACCACGTCATTAAATATGTTTATATAATAATAAAGTGCCTAAGAATCATTATTAATGTTGATGATAATCAGTTATGTTATTATTGGTGCCATAAGGATATGAATGCCATTAAACAGTTAGGATGCTGTACCTAATAGCCACTACAACTGTACTAGTTACCCCTAACAATACATTTTCTCTCACTCTCACCACCAAACAATATGGCTCACATGTATTTATAAATGAGTTTGTTCATAATGACCGTTTTAATATTAAAGATGTTTAGTTAAATTATATAAAGATACATACATTAATTATTTCAAACATGAACACGTAGAAAGTTTATCAGAAATATTATACAAGAATTAACTGTTAAACTCTGGTAGCAAATTGACGCTTTCGGAGGACGCATTTGATATTTATTTGATACTTATTTTTACGCACAATAAGATATACTAATTACGCTTCAGTAGTATTTCAATGTGATTCTGATCTTTTAAAATTAAAGTTTTTGCATAATGTAATATTACTGATGAGTAATTAGTCTTAGTATGCCTTATTATGGTAACAGTAAGTATATATTAAATGCGTCCTCCTACAGCGTCAATTTGCCACCAGAGTTTAACAGTTAATTCTTGTATAATATTTCTGATAAACTTTCTACGTGTTCATGTTTGAAATAATTAATGTATGTATCTTTATATAATTTAACTAAACATCTTTATTATAAAAAAGGGTCATTATGAACAAACTCATTTATAAATACATCATTACTTGAGGAGGAAACGGACAAATGTGAACCAGCCATCAGGTGTAACTGTTGAGGAGGGGCCGGGGGAAGGACGCCCTATAATATATGGCGTTTAAATACTCTTAAGTCTTAACAAAAGTAATGTTTTGTTTGTACAGTGTTACATATATGTCCTCTTAATTAATAATAAAGAAACATAAAACAACGTAACACGTCAACATTATTATGGTTAAATACAAATTACATTTGATAAATACGGAAAATATTAATGTATAAAACACACACACACACACACACACACATATATATATATATATATATATATATATATATATATATATATATATATATATATATATATATATATATATATATATATATATATATATATATACACACATATACATACACACACACGCACAACATAACACTCACGGAGCCAGGCCAGTTGTCCACGTGACCACAGAGAGGTCACCGCCGGGGCCAGGTCGGGGTCCTTGTCAGTTATCACCAGGTGGAGGCCCCCCACAGTGTGTGGCAGCGACCTAACAGCAGCACCACTCAGCTGACCCCTGAACCCCTCACCCGACGCCTGTAGCTGTATAGATCAACAGTTGTGTATAATAATGATAAGTATTGCTGGATCACCTCAACACCCGACGCCTGTAGCTGTATAGATCAACAGTTGTGTATAATAATGATAAGTATTGCTGGATCACCTCAACACCCGACGCCTGTAGCCGTATAGATCAACAGTTGTGTATAATAATGATAAGTATTGCTGGATCACCTCAACACCCGACCCCTGTAGCTGTATAGATCAACAGTTGTGTATAATAATGATAAGTATTGCTGGATCACCTCAACACCCGACGCCTGTAGCTGTATAGATCAACAGTTGTGTATAATAATGATAAGTATTGCTGGATCACCTCAACACCCGACCCCTGTAGCTGTATAGATCAACAGTTGTGTATAATAATGATAAGTATTGCTGGATCACCTCAACACCCGACGCCTGTAGCTGTATAGATCAACAGTTGTGTATAATAATGATAAGTATTGCTGGATCACCTCAACACCCGACGCCTGTAGCTGTATAGATCAACAGTTGTGTATAATAATGATAAGTATTGCTGGATCACCTCAACACCCGACCCTGTAGCTGTATAGATCAACAGTTGTGTATAATAATGATAAGTATTGCTGGATCACCTCAACACCGACGCCTGTAGCTGTATAGATCAACAGTTGTGTATAATAATGATAAGTATTGCTGGATCACCTCAACACCCGACGCCTGTAGCCGTATAGATCAACAGTTGTGTATAATAATGATAAGTATTGCTGGATCACCTCAACACCCGACACCTGTAGCCGTATAGATCAACAGTTGTGTATAATAATGATAAGTATTGCTGGATCACCTCAACACCCGACCCCTGTAGCTGTATAGATCAACAGTTGTGTATAATAATGATAAGTATTGCTGATCACTCAACACCTGACGCCTGTAGCCTCTATAGATCAACAGCTGTGCATAATAATGATAAGTATTATGGATCACTCAACACCCGACGCCTGTAGCTGCATAGATCAACAGTTGTGTATATAATGATAAGTATTGCTGATCACCTCAACACCCGACGCCTGTAGCCGTATAGATCAACAGTTGTGTATAATAATGATAAGTATTGGTGGATCACCTCAACACCCGACGCCTGTAGCCGTATAGATCAACAGTTGTGTATAATAATGATAAGTATTGGTGGATCACCGCAACACCCGACGCCTGTAGCCGTATAGATCAACAGTTGTGTATAATAACGATAAGTATTGGTGGATCACCTCAACACCCGACACCTGTAGCCGTATAGATCAACAGTTGTGTATAATAATGATAAGTATTGCTGGATCACCTCAACACCCGACACCTGTAGCCGTATAGATCAATAGTTGTGTATAATAATGATAAGTATTGGTGGATCACCTCAACACCCGACGCCTGTAGCCGTATAGATCAACATTTGTGTATAATAATGATAAGTATTGGTGGATCACCTCAACACCCGACGCCTGTAGCCGTACAGATCAACAGTTGTGTATAATAATGATAAGTATTGGTGGATCACCTCAACAACCGACACCTGTAGCCGTATAGATCAACAGTTGTGTATAATAATGATAAGTATCGCTGGATCACCTCAACACCCGACACCTGTAGCCGTATAGATCAACAGTTGTGTATAATAATGATAAGTATTGCTGGATCACCTCAACACCCGACACCTGTAGCCGTATAGATCAACAGTTGTGTATAATAATGATAAGTATTGCTGGATCACCTCAAAACCCGACCCCTGTAGCTGTATAGATCAACAGTTGTGTATAATAATGATAAGTATTGCTGGATCACCTCAACACCCGACGCCTGTAGCTGTATAGATCAACAGTTGTGTATAATAATGATAAGTATTGCTGGATCACCTCAACACCCAACGCCTGTAGCTGTATAGATCAACAGTTGTGTATAATATGATAAGTATTGCTGGATCACCTCAACACCGACGCCTGTATGTATAGATCAACAGTTGTGTATAATAATGATAAGTATTGCTGGATCACCTCAACACCCAACGCCTGTAGCTGTATAGATCAACAGTTGTGTATAATAATGATAAGTATTGCTGGATCACCTCAACACCCGACGCCTGTAGCCGTATAGATCAACAGTTGTGTATAATAATGATAAGTATTGGTGGATCACCTCAACACCCGACACCTGCAGCAGTATAGATCAACAGTTGTGTATAATAATGATAAGTATTGCTGGATCACCTCAACACCCGACACCTGTAGCCGTATAGATCAACAGTTGTGTATAATAATGATAAGTATTGGTGGATCACCTCAACACCCGACACCTGCAGCCGTATAGATCAACAGTTGTGTATAATAATGATAAGTATTGCTGGATCACCTCAAGATTCTCCCTCCACATTATATAACATTAAACTTCCTATCGTTAACCTAACCTAATTATCGTTACCATGTTTAGGTGAAATAACCTGAGACAAAAATTAAGGTGATTCTAATATTAAAATTATTATTAGTAGTAGTAGTAATAGCAGTAGTAGAAGTAGTAGCAGTAGTAGTAGTAGCAGAAATAGCAGTAGTAGTAGTAGCAGCAGTAGTAGTAGTAGGGGGTCCGGGCGGTGTGGGTGTGTTGGGGTGCCTTCCCTGATTTAAAGTGTTATTGGTGGGGATATACTCAGTTTGTGGGAGCGAGAATTTCACAGTGTGTCGATGAACGTTTGATGTCACCTTGAGCATCATCGCCGACGGCTCTTTTCATTCCTTACGACATTAAAGGCAAATATTGCTCGTGTTCACCGGCGATCTTCAAGTAAGCCTGTGAGTGTTTGAATGGTGGGTGGCTGGAGTTGCCAAGTGTCAGTGCCAGTGTGTCGATAGGCCTACCCTAGCAAGTGTGGCATCGCGACTCTCGCCCCTATGGGGCCGAGTGCCTCGCGCGTTCAGTCGCCTCAAGTAACGGCCACTCCATGTAGTGTCGGCTGACCAAGTGAGTATATATAACTAATGTTACATCAGCGAGACCATAGAAATGGTGGCTATCTCTACCAAAGTGACATAATCAAGTGTTAGGTGTGACAATTCTTGCTCCCAGTGGATTATTCTCATGTGTGGATTATCGTCCACATGGGGGGTGCCCGACACAACCACACGCGCGCGTATGCCCTTACTACTCGGACACCACAGGCCAGGCCGTCACCTCTGTGCCTCATACGCATAAGATCTAGTTTCTTCGTCCGTATGGGCCCAATAGCAGAGGTCGGAGGCGGAAATATCTGTCGCCCAAGGTGCTGGTCACTATGCCTGGCAACAGTCTTTGCTGCGTCTGTGCTAGCCCGAACCAAAACTGCACAAACTGTCTTTGTGCGAGAAACAACCGATCATGTGTTGATTGCAGGAAGCTAGACCAGTGTCAGAACCCACGTGGCAGGGAGCCGACACAGGCGGCCACAGTGGATATCGCCGGGACCCAACCACCCGATGATATCCGAAATGATAGCAGTGAGTCTACTCAACCCGAAAATGTAGTACTAATAAATGCTGCTCCCTCAGTAGCAGGTGTCCAGGAGGAGAATGAGAGACAGCCGCCTCAGTGGAATGGCATGTCGATGGAAAATGCAGGCGTATGGGTCAAAGAAACCTACTCAGAAATTGTCAAGTGGTCGCCCGCTAACTTATTTGAACCACCCAAGTGTGCGGCCACCAAAGAAATGATTCGGGAGATGACTTTCTTCATGACTGATTACACTCAGGACCGCTTCCTCGCCCCCCTAGCTCTTCAAATACTGGCAATAATACCACATCTATTTTGTCAGAGGACACACACAAAGGCTAAGCACAAAGAAAATGTGGCAGCAATGAAGAGAAGATCGACAATGTGGCGGACTGGGGCCCTAGATGATCTCCTATGTGAAGCAAGAACACTGCAGGAGAGACTAAAATCTACGGGTGACGGAAAGCAAAACACCGATGACGTGGCAAGAAAATTTGGAAACAAAATGCGTGTGGGAAAAGTGTCTCTCGCGGTAAGATCTCTCACTCAGGAATCTTCCGGTGGGGTGATGCCAATAAACAGAGCGACATTAAAACTATTGAAAGAGAAACATCCCCCTGCAAGTGAAGTTGAAGGCATCAGGCTCCATGGTGACTATATCCCACCAAATGCTGTCCTGTTCGAGAAAATAACAGGAGAGATGGTGTGGAAAAAGGCACTGAAGAGTCGAGGAGGAGCCGGCCCTTCAGGTCTGGATGCAAACGGTTGGAGTGTCATCCTCAGCACAAACAAGTTTGGCCCTGTAGCAAGCGATCTCTGCACTGCCATTGCTGCCCTTGCAAGAAAGCTTGCATCCTCTTGCTGCCATCACCTCCAGGCCCTGACGGCCTGCCGCCTTATTCCTCTGGAAAAGAAACCAGGATGTAGACCTATAGGGGTGGGGGAAGTGCTGAGGCGGATTATCGGAAAGTGCATAATGGAGGTGGTAAAGGACGATGTCAGGGCAGCAGCAGGGAACCTACAAGTGTGTGCTGGCCACCAGGCTGGTGGGGAGGCGGCCATTCACGCCATGAGATTGATATTCGAGCAGCGTGATTGTGAGGCCGTTCTCCTGGTGGATGCTTCAAACGCATTCAACATACTTAACCGCAAGGCTGCACTGCACAACATCAAGATCAAGTGTCCTAGCTTTGCGATGTATGTTGAAAATTCGTATAGGAATCCATCAGACCTCTACATAGTAAACAACAAGGCTCTACTAGGTGATACCATCCTACAGTCGACTGAGGGAACAACACAGGGGGACCCCGTTGCAATGGCAATGTATGCAATAGGCCTATCAGTGCTCCAACAAGAAATAAAGTTTGAAACAACTGGGGTCAAACAAGTGGCATATGCTGATGACCTCACAGGAGCAGGAAAAGTGGAGGACATCAAAAAGTGGTGGGACCTGGTAACATCGCGAGGTCCACAAATAGGGTACCACCCAAACGCCAGCAAATCCTTCCTCATCGTGAAGCCAGATCATTACGATCGGGCTTTGAAGGTTTTCGGCGAAAGTGAGGTCAAAATAACTAAGGACGGCCAAAGACATCTAGGCGCAGTAATTGGCACTACGGACTTCAAGACCCAGTACGTATCGGGAAAGGTGAATGAGTGGGTTAGCGAAATCCAAGCTCTATCGGAGATCGCTAACACAGAGCCACATGCGGCCTTTGCAGCATTCACCCATGGAGTCAAGCATCGTTGGAACTACCTGATGCGTACCATCCCTGAGATCGGACCCCTCCTCCACCCTTTGGAAGAAGCAATCAGTGTCAAGTTCATTCCCAAACTAGTGAAACACCCTGACTTAACCCGAGCAGAAAGAACACTTCTTGCACTTCCACCAAGACTGGGAGGGATGGGACTAACTAATCCAGAGGAGATTGCTGACTCTGAACATCAAAATTCACTTAAGCTCACGGCAGCCCTCACTGACCACATAATAGCCCAGAATGCAACAGGGGAAGTGGACACCAGTGAAGTTAATAAGATCCGTAGGTCCATTACAACAGATCGGCAGCACTGCCAAAATGACATGTTGCAGCAACTATTGCTGCAGGTTCCAGAAAATTTGACAAAAAAAGTTGCTATAGCGCAGGAGGTGGGCGCCTCGAACTGGTTAACTACGTTACCGATAAGGGCAAATGGTTTCAGCCTTAACAAACAAGAATTTACAGATGCCATTGCTCTAAGGTACGGTTGGCCAGTAGATGGTTTGCCCTCCCAATGCATGTGTGGCTCTCCCTATGATGGCGATCACGCCATGGTCTGCAAGAAGGGGGGCTTCATATGCATGAGGCATGACGAGGTAAGGGATCTCACAGCAAATATGTTGAAGGAAATCTGCCGGGACGTCATGGTAGAACCGACCCTCCTTCCACTGGATGGCGAGATCTTCCAACATAGGACTTCAAACACTTCTAACGAAGCCCGTGTGGACGTCAGTGCTCGAGGATTCTGGACGCGGGGACAGCGAGCTTTCTTCGACATCAGGATTTTTGATCCCATGGCCGTTTGTCACCGTAACCTAGCTCTCGATGCTGCGCATAGGAGGAACGAGAACGACAAGAGAAGGGCATATGGGGAGAGAATACAAAATGTTGATCAAGGCAGCTTCACTCCTCTAGTGTTCACAACCTCGGGTGGGATGGGCCCAAGTGCAAGATGTTTCTACGCCAGACTCGCGGAGCTGATCTCCGAACAGAAGCAGCAGCCCAGAAGTTATGTTACAGCCTGGATGAGATGTCGACTGTCCTTCTCTCTCCTTCGGTCGGCTTTGCTCTGCCTCAGGGGAACGAGAGCTTCCGCCCCTACTCCGACAACTGCTGCAGATATTGACTATGAGGCTACAGTCACTGAATGCCGCATAGATCTGCGGCTCAACTAATTTAACACAGATAGGATAGCTTCTTATGTATTAGGATATTTAATATTAAGGTAAATAAATGGTGGCGAAGGTGTGGCTATTGGGGGAGGCTGGAGGCCACGTTAAAAAAAAAAAAAAAAAAAAGTAGTAGTAGCAGCAGTAGTAGTAGTAGTAGTAATAGCAGTAGTAGTAGTAGCAGCAGTAGTAGTAGTAGTAGTAGTATAACCATTAACATTAAAGAGAACTACAGTATGGTGGTAACCGAGGGAAGAACTTAACGTCTTTGTCATCATTATTTTGTTTGGCTTCCCTGGCCTGGTTAACCTTCTCTCTGTTCCCTCCTACAGACTACTGCTATGTTTATCTAACATTAATAAAAAGGTAAATACATATAAGAGGAGACCAGTGAGACAGAGCAGCTACACTCCCCGTCACTCATCAAGGGTAAGAGGAGACCAGTGAGACAGAGCAGCTACACTCCCCGTCACTCATCAAGGGTAAGAGGAGACCAGTGAGACAGAGCAGCTACACTCCCCGTCACTCATCAAGGGTAAGAGGAGACCAGTGAGACAGAGCAGCTACACTCCCCGTCACTCATCAAGGGTAAGAGGAGACCAGTGAGACAGAGCAGCTACACTCCCCGTCACTCATCAAGGGTAAGAGGAGACCAGTGAGACAGAGCAGCTACACTCCCCGTCACTCATCAAGGGTAGAGGAGACCAGTGAGACAGAGCAGCTACACTCCCGTCACTCATCAAGGGTAAGAGAAGACCAGTGAGACAGAGCAGCTACACTCCCCGTCACTCATCAAGGTAAGAGGAGACCAGTGAGACAGAGCAGCTACACTCCCGTCACTCATCAAGGGTAAGAGAGAGACCAGTGAGACAGAGTCACTCATCAGACCTACAGCTCTCCCGTCACTCATCAAGGGTAAGAGGAGACCAGTGAGACAGAGCAGCTACACTCCCCGTCACTCATCAAGGGTAAGAGGAGACCAGTGAGACAGAGCAGCTACACTCCCCGTCACTCATCAAGGGTAAGAGGAGACCAGTGAGACAGAGCAGCTACACTCCCCGTCACTCATCAAGGGTAAGAGAGACCAGTGAGACAGAGCAGCTACACTCCCCGTCACTCATCAAGGGTAAGAGGAGACCAGTGAGACAGAGCAGCTACACTCCCCGTCACTCATCAAGGGTAAGAGGAGACCAGTGAGACAGAGCAGCTACACTCCCCGTCACTCATCAAGGGTAACTGACCAGAGTTAAGATGGCGGTGAGGGTAAACACTCCAGATACTTCCACTTAAATAATTATTTCATAAAACTTACATTAAACAAAATATATTATTGTTTTTTTTATAACATACAAGTGGTGACTATAAATAACGGCTGCCAGGGGTCACAATAGATTTTAATAATTTATTAGTAAAAAGATAATTATATATTTAGTAGATATTTCGTGGGAGTGTTGCCATAATGACCATGTTTTTAAATAACTGAAATTTGAGTAAATATAAAAAACATATAATATTCTTACAACCTCGTTAATCTGTCTTTACCTATTATTATTATTGTTATTGTTATATTTTATTATTATTATTTATTATTATTATCAATTATTATTATTATTATTATTATTATTATTATTATTATTATTATCATATTATTATTATTATTGTTGTTATTTTTATTTTTATTACTGTTATTATTATTATTAATATTATTATTGTTATTATTTTATTATTATTAATTATTATCAATTATTATTATTATTATTATTATTAATATTGTTATTATTATTATTGTTATTATTTTATTATTATTATTAATTATTATTATCAATTATTATTATTATTATTATTATTATTATTATTATCATTATTATTGTTGTTATTGTTATTACTATTATTATTATTGTTATCATTTTTGTTTTTATTATTTTATTATTATTATTATTATTGTTATTATTGTTGTTGTTGTTATTATTATTATTATTGTTTTTATTGTTATTATTTTATTATTATTATTATTATTATTATTATTATTATTATTATTATTAATATTATTATTATTACTATTCAAGTGTTAGAAGTAACATGTCAAAGGTTAACTAAGTCAACATATCTAACTACCTCAGCAGCTTATTGTCAAACAGCTGTATGATTAATACTGAAATAATGAACTGAATAATATATGCCGATAATTGTTTCCTGTTATTATTTAGGTAATATTTTCAATTTATGGAATAATATCTACTGTAGGTGGGACCCTTTAGTATACTATTGTAAGAATAATGATGTCAAGTTTACCTTTTAAAGACGTCTTGGAGAGCTGAGTCAAGAGAGGGGCTGCAGGTGTCTGGGTGCTTCCAGTGATGGGTCATAGTTATGTGTACTGCACAGTTGTTACACGCAGCCACCACCTTCATCAGGTCGACCATGTGGGGAATGTTGTCTGGGTCTCCTTCAATACTTACGGTTATCTTGTCTGGTCGACCAAGAGGGAGTAGAGTGGTGTAGACTGACACACTGCTATCTCTGACCCATATGTCACCTGTCACCAATTGTGGAATATGTTTAGCGACGTATTTACACAAGGTAGCGTCACACTTCACGTCATTTATCAGGTCCTCCCACTGTCTCTTGTCTGTCATACCGGAAGAGTGGAGAAGGCGGACCAGTTCTTCTGCCTTGTCTTCCTTTACCTCTCCTCCGCCATCAACATATAAAATGCCAGTTAGATGAACCAGAACGTTCTGGTATTTGGTCAGAGTCAGAGACGACGGGTCATCCTTGTGTAGCTCCTCCAGGACCTCCCTGATGATGCGGGGACCTTGAGACATATTTGGTCTGTCTCCCTGAAGCGAGTCCCTTATATGCAAGGCGCTGTAGAAATCCTGAACTCCCTTGTGGGGGAAACTAAGGCATGACTTAACTCCTGCACAGAGAGAGTAAGTGTTGTTGGTGATGAGGAAGGCGCCGATGACTTCCTCGAGCAGAATGTTAACACCTCCACATGTTTGTTCAAGGTTGTCTGTCATCTCTTGTGACACATTTAATGAGTCATATTTTAGGCTTACAAGGGATTCTCGACACATCACTTTAAAGATCTTTTCAACCTTTCTCTTCACACTACTAGCAGATATAACTGTGTCTGGTTTATCTATCAGTCGTTTCACAAATTTTTCTGTCGTCATATCCTTCACTTTACTGTACAGTTGTGTGGCCGTTGTCATATTCTTTACATTACTTGGATCTTCGGCCCATATGAGAGTTAAGAATACCAGGTTCATGGGCAATCTTAGGTACTCCTGGAGATGACGTGGCATACTCTTTAGGTACTCTACCAGTTCTCGTGTACTCTGTGTACTCTTGCCAGCTTTTTTTAGCTGGTTGTGGTATTTCTATGCACAAGTTCCACGACTTTCAGCAGGAATACCAACAAGTTGTAAATGGACAGCTCCCAGGTGAGATGGAAGAGTTTTGTAGAAGTCGTCCACCCTCTCTGGCCTTGTAGTACAGACTACAGTAAAGTTATAATTACATAAGACATCCTGGACCAGTGCTTTTGATGCTGTATTCAACTCGTCGAGGCCATCCACCAGCACGAGGACCTTAAAATGCTGGACACATTTGATCATGTCACCTCCTCGACACTTCTTAGCGGTGTCTGGCATCTGTGACTGGACGAGCTGTGAAAAAGACCTGATGTGTTGATTTCTGCATTCAACATGGAAGACAAGCAGGAAGTTAGTAAGACCTTGTATGGTGCTCTTGTCGGCCTTCCAATCACTTAATAATTTTATCAAGAAGGTCGTCTTACCAACACCGGCGACACCTTCAATAAGTATGATTCTTTTGCCTTTGTCAATGGCAAGTTTTAGAATGTCTTCATATGGTATATCTTGGGCAGCTGTACCTCGCTCCCTCTTAACTTGGATGCGTGTGAACACAGTGCCAATATCAAGGAAAAAGTCTGTACCGGCAATAAACGACACAGGATTAACATTTGTCCGTCTACCAAACAGCTCCACCAACTCTTGTTTACCAGACTGCTCTATGATGTCATTATTGTAGCTGATTATATCCTCGGGGTCCAGGAGGTTGTCTCTGATGTAGTTGATGCCT